AGATCAGTAAATGGAGAAGGTAACAACTTTTACAAGTTTCTTGATCCCTCCAAATTCCCGATGGAGATGGTCACTGAAGCTCTCCAGTTTTGGTATGAACGTCAAGAACAACACAAAGTCGCCTTTCGATTTAAATCCTTTCTTGAGGGGAAAATGCTGCTGGAAGCACCTCCACGAAGGAAAATCAAAGTTCACGTTCCTAAACCTCATGTTCATAGTGTTGGGAAGGGCAAGAAGCCCGGCAGAAGCAAGGGTCAAAGGAGAGGCCGGGCAGCAACCGAGTCACCGTCAGATGAGGAAGCCAGGCCAAAGAGAAAGGAAGGGGTGGAAGATCGGCAGTTCGATGACAACAGTTGGAAGGATTTGGATGTGGACAAGCCGGCCAAGAAACGAACCGAACAGTTTTCTAATCGTGAGGATGGCTCCGATGATAGTGACTCAGACTCCGATAATGGTCAAGAGAGGCCAAAGCAGGATACTCTGACCGAGCCCACAGTGAAACCTAGCAGGGTCAACCCGACCTTGGAAGAGGATAGAGACTCGGGATCAGATTTGGGCTCAGACGATGCTACGATCACTGTAGATACCAGCCCCGAGCTTCAGCCTCGGTACAACGACACCCGGGCTCTATCCCATGAAGTACCATCGGACACCGAGGTCTTGGCTGATGATACATTTTGGGAAGCTGACCTGGGCTGTGGGGTGGAGTCGGCCGATCGAGCGAAGAAGAGAAAATTCACTGATGAGGAGGATACACCCTGCAAGTTTCCTCGGTTAGAGAAGGGTTACAAACTTGGCCCGAGGAGTGCCCGACCAGGCAAAGTCAAATGCCGTGCTGCCTCGGCTGTTATCCAAGCCACTGTCAAACCAGCTCAAGCAACCAATCTGAGGTCGGACACAACCAAAGCTTCGAATAGCTTTGATTTCACAAAGTCAAGTGGTGTCAACGCAAAACGACCAGTCCCTTCAAAACAAAAGGAGTCAGAGGCCGGTCCCAGTCAGCAACCATCTATTGATGTCCCCACCAAGCCAAAACCAAAACCTCGTCCTATCATTAAAGGCAAGGTTTCTACAGGGGAACTCGGTATAGTAACCCGAGAACGGTCGAAAAAGATTGCTGAAGAAAGTGTTCGTTCCACCCGGTCCAAGAAAGTTTCATTCGTCAGTTAAACCTATCATGTTTAATGATGTTAGTCATTCATGCCCGGGTGCGAAATACATAGCATGTTCAATGATGTTAGTCTGTGTCCGGTTTCAGCAGTGTCACTTTTCGTAGTTCATCATGTTTTCCTATCATGAAAGGCAAGGGTTGAAAAGGTGTTCGTTTGACTAATTGAGCCGGGAGGCTTGTCTTATGACCAATTAAATGTGAGCACTATCCGGCAGCAGGTATCTTCAACCGTGCCCGGGTGCAAACTACATAGCGAACCAACCTCGGTCTTGTGATCTAATCTTCTACTTAAACCCTGGTCCATCCCTTTTGTCCCTCCCCTTCCCCTTGTCTGGGATCTCGTCTGGGATGAATGGCCGTAGTCCTTCTAAAGTAGCGTCCATTGCTGCAACCAGATCACGGTCTGAATCGATTTGTTCACGCAACCGGTCTTTCTCCCTCCTCAAGGTGGCCAAAACATACCGATAATGGCTCGTTGTCGCTATGCTGTCAGGCAGGGATCTGAGCGCCTCCTGGGAATTTCGCTATGACGAA